CCGTCTTTACACCGCGAAAATGTACCGTCCTCGTGCTTCTAGCTTCCTTACCGTTTAAGTCGGTCACAGCTCCATATTATTTATGCACCTGCAGTGCATCGGATTAAAGCCCGCATCTCTGAGTTGGTTGAACAAACAGATGTTCAAATATCAACTGTCCATTGGCAAATGTTTAGACAAAATGAGGTTAAATATAACCGCGATGACAATGAAAAAATGACATCGCAAATAATTCCCGTCGTGTAAGCGTAAAACAGATCCACATTTCCACGCTTTCGTTTTCCGTACCTAACCTACTCTCTAGGCGAATGGGAAGAGGAGAGCCTTTGAAATCTGATTTGATAGATTTCTGCTCATATTTACGTATTCCAGGCATGAAATCCCGTATCATTGATGTTTTGCGAACTTCATTGATAACGTGTGAATATTGCTGTAGTTATTAATTTGATGTGAGGCGCATTCTTGCACTATAGGTTCTCTATTACCACGAATCTATGGCCTGTTTAAATAGCTTCCTGGTTATCTAAAAGTAGACGAATAGTATCTTGCGCTGTGAAACCTCATTTGGTGAAGTCGCGTATGATAATTTGTGTATAGTTTAGGCCTCGGTGTATATGGCAAGTTCTAAGTAAATGAGCTGTTATATTTTCCCTCCACTTGTCAGTTCGTTGTACCATTTTAATCGATGCTAACGGTTTGGCTATCTGTCAGTTGCGCTCGATGATTTTTCAGGTTTTGGTCTGTGAGCTGAGTAATGTTAATCATTTGAGAATAGCGCTTAGTTAAAGTCTGATGGAAGGCCGCACTTTTTCCTATGATATTTTTCCCGTTTTCGGACCTGAAAGAATTTTGTGGAACAACAGGTGATTGTGCATTTACAAATACGAAACGGAAACAACGCTTTAAAGTGATGTCGTGTAAGCGATATAGCAAGACAGGTACATTTACTTAGTGGTCCCCTTGTTCGTAGTTCAATTTTCAAATTGCAGTTATCGCGTAATTTGCAAGTAATTCAGTTATGTTTGCTCCTATGTGTTGCGAGGATTTCTTAGAAGCTTCTTAGGATATTTGTGTAGGCAGGCAGTCTTCGCTTTTACGGCATAAGCTGTTCCTGAAAGTCGAAGAGTCGTAAATCAGCGTATTTTCATCAGCATCAGCATATTTTCGCAAGGTAAGAACATTATTAATCAGAAGTAATTTTTAAAGCCCAATTGAGGAACCTAAGCCCAGAAGACATTGTTTGTTTAATTAATATAATAACCTGCAACATTTGTTTAAAATTTGATAATGTGATGTACAAACATTGCGTTATACCGATGGGTTCTGCTATTAGTGTCGTCATAGTCGAAATCTTTATAAATTATCTGGAGTCCA